TCTAGAACCGCCCATGTTTGCAGGAGGTCAAACAAACATTTTTTATGTTTTTCAGTGCTGTAAAAATCTGTTTAATATATTTAAACAATAAATGTAAACATTTCTTGCAACGAAAATTTGCGCCATAGCTATCAGTGGTCATACGCCCACGTTTCAGCGCGGCGCGGCGCCAGGCAGGTGGCTGTTGTAGACAAAACGCCGGGTGTGTCTCAGGCCATGGATCCCAGAGGGGAAAAAGTAAATAGCTGAAGAGAACGGATTCAAAGAAGAATGGAGCAAATCATTTGCTTTCATTACCAATGAGGAAGGATTGCCTGCATTTTTGCTTTGGAATGAGAAGTTGTCAGATAATAAAAAAAGTCATTTACGGTATTTCCAATTGAGAGAAAGAATGCAATTGCAGAACTTCTGGATAAATTAGAGGAGAGCAAAGATAGAATTAAGAAGTGGATTGCATCTCCAAACTCCACTGCTGCTGCTAGTTTGGTTGCAAACATAGAAATCCGTCCACAGATCAAACAGTTGGCGCTCTGATGCAGGGATGGAAACTTTCTTCCATTTTTTTCCCCCCAAATCCTAAAATAAAAGAATAAAAAGGATGGCTGTTGATGGAGGATGTGAGATTAGAGAGCACTGCTCTGATGTCAGTTCCTGCTTGGCTCCTCGCGACTCAATCAGCTCCTCCCAACAGAAACACGTCCCCCATAGAAAGATTCCTTTTTTTTTGTTTCTATAATTTCATCAATGCAACAAAACCTGAACTGCGCGGTGAATGGCGGTGAAGCGGCGCGCGGTGAGAGCGTTCACTGCTCCTACTTCACCTCATGCTACTATGTGACATTTGCTCCAGGATAAACATTTTATAATGAATGCTTATTATATATTTAAGGTAGCCCAGGTAGTCCTTATTTATAGTGGGAGGCTGATAGAAGACTTTTATATTTTTGCGGCTGCAGACTGATTTGTTTTTTGGTCCAATTTGGCTCTTTGAGCACTTTGGGTTGTCGACACCTGATCTAAATATTTTTACTCTAATTTGTAATAAATTGCTTGTTCCAATAAACTGATTTAAGAGTTAAATTAATTAAAGGACAAATGTCTCGTTCATCTTTCATAGAAGAGATCAGATCAGTGGTTTCTTAGCAGAGGACTGTACCATGAAGCAGGATTACTGGGTTAGCCAGACAGCTTTAATTGACCTTCTTGTCACAGTCTTGGTTTTCCATTTGTTGTCCTCTGCTGCCCTCTTGTGTCCTCTTTCCCTTGCTCTGTTTTCTGCTCTGCCCTCACCTGTTTTCAATCCCCTCGTTAGCCCTCTCTTTGTCTCTGTCCCCTTTAAAAGCCTCCCTCTTCAGTTCCTGTTGCTGGATCCTTGTCTAACGTCTGTCTGCTTACCTCGTCTCTCCTT